AAAACTTAACAGTTTGGCAATGTTAAACACAGTTAAAGATAATTTCCGGCATTTCTCTTACTAGCGCCTGAAACTATACTTATTATTTGATGTATTGTGGAACGATTTTCCGTCATCCCTTGGCAAATTTTCGAAAAATGACACTGAAGATGGCACAACGCCGAAACCGGTTTGTCTCCAAAACAAATTTGACAAGGGATGACGGAAAATCGTTCCACAATACATCATACTCTTACCCTGTCGGAAACACAAACAACCAAAAAGAACTTATTATTTACTACGGCCGGCAGCTTTAACAAATTTATAGCGTTTTTACGTTCTTTGGCAAATTAGCTAGCCATACATTTTACTATGTTATGACCGCCTTTGTATCAAGCCCCCTGGACGATGTAGGGAATTCATTAATATTTTAAATTGCATTGTCATCGTTATTGGAACTATGCTGAAAATTTCAAGTCTCTACCTTGACGGGAAGTTAGTTTAAAATCGATTGGAAATTTCCGCGGGATGACCAAGTTAAATAAAAGCTTGTAAAAAAAAGAAGAAAAATAGGGGCTCATTAAAATTTAACCGATGAAAACTCCCAACAAGCTATATATAATAATATATAACAATATATTGCTATATATCGTTTCAAAGGTTTATAAATCCTCTTTTCAACACTTGTCCGAGTTTGAAAATCGGATGGAAAATTGTCAAGCTATTAATAGATAACTACATCAAGAACGAGAATAACGGGTTTTTCGGTATAAAAAACTGGAGGGTTCAGCAAATATACGGGACCTATTTTCATGTTGTACTCGACCATACCTACAACTTAAACTAGGTTTTGTTTCAGGTGTATTTCATGACCTTTTTTTTGTAGCACCGTGTAATCGATTAATGAAAAGCAAAACTACGATACTATTGAATCGCAACTTGGACAAAAATAATCGATTAATTTAATCAAATGATAGCAGCCCCTACTCTGAATGAAAATAGAAGCCGAATTGGCCATGTCTGCCCGTCGTGTACACGATAATTTAAACCGAAATTGGGATATCTCAACGAAATTTGGTTAAAAGGTTGTTCTTCATCCAAGATAAGTTAATATTGAAAACTGGCGAAACCTGGCGACAAGCGCAACTTTTCTTGTTTTGATATTTCTATTGTACGGGTTGTTGTGACCACGATTGAGAGAAATAGAGATTGCGCCCATCGTGGTACCGCTAATCCGCTCTTTGTGATTTTGACAGAATCAGCTGTGTGCATGACGTCATCTTGGTGCAATTGTTGATTGTGAGCATACGAAAAAACCAAATAACAATTTTAATATGTGTGCGTTAATATTTCTGCGTGGTTTTAAACAATTATTGAGACATAACAAAGCAAAAGGAAATGTGCAGTGGCAAAGTGTAATATCGAAAACAAAAGGAAGGCGTGCGATATAAGTTTTTTTTTCGTTTCCTACGGACGCAAGCTTCGCGAAAGAGTGGAAGCAGTTCTGCCGGCTAGGAGATGCATTAAACACCAAATCGAGCTATGTGCTATGTGTGTGAGCTATTAGCTTCTACATGGAAATATGTATGTTTGCCTTTCCTTGGTGAATTTTAATATATATATTTTCATGGTGAATGGAGACAGTGCTGGTTTAGTTTGCTGTCAATGGGTGCGTTTATAAGACGTAGCTGTTTAGCTCAACTGCTACGAAACTGCTGGCAACTGTTGGACCCAACAATTACGTCTTAGAAACGGCTTGATGAATATGCTGCCAAATGAACAGCTGATAAATGTAAACAAATGAAATAGCAATAAATAGAGATAGTTGCGCCAATAGTATTTATAATTCAACGCTGAGCTGAGTATTAGTATAAAATATTTTAGATACTTTATAATACCAGTAATATAAAATAGAATAAATTTGTTTGCAACTGCCACCTAACAAAGCGGCGTTAAATTTAATACAAGCGGCGTAAGTCTTTACGATCAGCTGTTTAGGCTAAGCCCAACACGTTGAGTTCAGGTAGCATAAAAATTTTCCGCTTGAAAAAATGGCGTAAAGTTGCCAACTGTTGAGCTGAGCGGAACTACTCAACTGTGCGTTTCGAAGACAAACACTCAACAGTTTAACAACAGCTACGTCTTAGAAACGCGCCCAATGACATACATAGTACAAAGCAGTTTCTACAGTATATACATACATAAACTTCACTACCTTCTTATTTTTGTTAGTACCTGATTCTTTTTAGTGCTGATATGAGCCAATGCAACAGTGGGTAAAGTCGCCAGTCACTAATTCATGTGGCATCTCACCGCGCTGTTACGTACCTAATATATAACCGTGGCCATTTTATAACACATTTAAAAGTTCAGCTTGAATTATGTTTTACTTTCATAAAATATTTGTTTGCAAAAAAGCCACACTCACACATCCTCTCGGATATGGTACAAAACTCGTCAATTCAAAGCTGTGGTGTTTGTAGTAGTAGTCTACCGTCGACAAATATAAATTTGCAGTCTGCATGGCTTTTTACAATGTATGCTTTGTGGCGAGTCCAAAATCACTTTGCTGCACACCTTCCTTTTGGTCTAGATGAAATTGCAAACATTGTTAATACATGCATTTTTTCAACAACCTACATGTGCTAAAACTCGTACATACCTAAAGGGCTACATTGTCCAGAATTATTGCTACGCGTTCCTAATGAATTAATCTTGGTATGTTTATTAATTCCTGCAAAATTGGACCATTTGATATTAATATTAATACATTTTTCGGCATTGTTTACATATTTTTCTCTGCGTTTTGGCATTTCTCTCTCGCAATTAGGGTTGCCAGACGTACTGCTTTTGGGAGTAAACGTACACATTTTTATTGCCTTGTACTCCCTTATACTCCCAAAAAAATATCTGGAAATGTACTCCTTTTTTAGTTTCGTACTTCTTTTGTACTCCTTTTTCCGTCTATTAATTTTTATCATATATGTACAGGGTGTAAAATAATAACTGTCGCTGAGGTTTTTTTTGAAAAATAAAAGGGTCCTTTATAGATTTTGCGAAAAAAGTATTTTATTGCAAATTTTCTAAAGATTTTATTTAAATTTAATTAATTAGTTTTTAAATGTTTACCTTTATTTGGTTTTACCAGCGGTAAACACTTTAAGAGAAAAGCGCAAGCGGCTACTTTATTTCATATCTCCTGTAACCATAGGCTATTCGATTCCTTTATACTCCTCCTTTTGTCCAACACATGGCATCTTTATTTCAACATATGGTTACTTTATTTCATATCTTCTGTAACCATAGGCTAATTTCCCCCATTTTAGTCCTTTATACTCCTCCTTTTGTCCAACATATGGCATCATACTCAGAAATGGAATACACTCGGAACCAGGGCCGTCGAGAGAAAACTCGGGCCCGGACTGAAAAATCACGGGCCCCTGTACATAAAGTGTATTAATTTAAAAGCACATTATCAATAGAGAGTTTTCCATGTAGGGTTTCTTTGTCGACGGACCTGCTCGGAACTGGTGACTAGGAGGCCATTCATGCGACCAACCCTATAGGTACAGTTTTATTTTTTTATATTTTTTTTTATACAGTCTAAAAAAAAAATACACCTGAAAAAGTCATGTACTTATCTCCCAAAGCTGGAAAATGCAAATACGGATTAAAGTTAAGAGTATTTTACGCCCTGTACTTTGCCATTCATATTGTGGCGAACATCGTTCCACAATACACCACACTTCTAAGTAAGCAAAGTTAAATGTGATTTATGTGTGTGTAATAAGCATGGTCGTAGACAGGTAGGTGCAGGGCACTCGGGTATAAAAATCAGAAAAATAATAAATTATAAGGCTTAAAAAATTTCCATACATTCAGGAATTGTCTGGAATTCTTTTGTAGAATTTAGTTATTTATTTTTAACATTTATTGTTGCTTTGAAAAGGATATCCAAGATATCTTTGTTTGTTTGTTCCTAATTAATGAAAACCATCTAAACAGTAGTGAAGAACCAGACATATTAAGTAAAAGATGCGTTCATTGTATCCTAGGGGAAGAAATTAAGCACTTTTTCTTACACTCTCTAAAATACTTCTATTGCCGATACGAGGTTAAGGCAGAAACGGGACGAAATGTCCCGTGCGACGGTGATTTGATTTAAATTTTAAATAATATATAAATCCTCTTTTGGATAAAATCAAAGTTTTAAGACACTTCAATGCTGGAGATTTTTAAATTAGTCAAATTGAAATAATGCCCCCGGTTTTTTTGTCCCATGCGAATGCCTTAGTTTTTTGCAATTACCTTGCAACGAAAACTTGCCCAAAATCAAGTTTAGCACCAATTACACACTAGGGAGGCAAAAATATCACAGCTAAACGACCAAACACACAAACTTAATTTTGGCCTCTATATGTTATAGTGAACCAATTTCGATGATTTTCATAAATAGTTAAGGTAATACCGAAAAACTGTCACGTGCCAAATTTTAGTAGAATAACTTTAAAACTGAAGGAATTATTACCAAAAATGTTAAAATTAGCTCATTTTTAAGTACCGTTATCTCAAAAACTGGAGCTTATCTGGAAAAACGCGGGGCACCATTAAATTAAGATGATCCCAATTAAGAAAGATCAGCTATCAAAACCTTTGCTCAGAAAAACAGTTCAAAACCTGAGCACAGTGTTATAAGCGACGAAAATTTCACCGTAAGAGTTCTAAAACTTCCCTCCTAAATATCTCAAAATTTTGACGTGATACGGATTTTCTGAAAACGGCATCGCAATCTAGGGGCCAAAATTAAGTTTACGTGTTTGGTCGTTGAGCTGTGATATTTCAAAAGTTTAAAATTTACCTACAGGGCCTATTACGATGGTCAAGTTCCAGATGATGGAAATTCCCTTATTTAGGCTATATCGCGTTGATTATTTTCTATTTGAAATGTGTTTATATTTAATAATTGATATTTGTCTTTGCTTAATTAATATGTGAATGCTAAGCTCAAATTTTTTTTTCAGGATTATCCACCACAACTCGACTTTACAACGCCTCCATTACCCATGACTCAACTTCATCCTATATCGCAAGCATCTATTATTAGTGGTAACGCTTTGATTGGGTCTATTGGTGGTGGAAGTGGCACACTTCGCCGAGGTATAATGCGAGGAATCGTGGGTATGCCACCCCCTGACGTTACTCAGCTTACAAGTACGAGTATGGCTGGTACAAGTAACATCCAAATGCTTCATGAGTTGCATCCAATAAATATCTCGAATAATTCCTGTTCTACGCAAACAACAAGCATAACAGGTAACGGAAGCATGATGTCAACTATCCCAAGCAGTACTACCAAACAACCTCAAAGCATTCTTAAGGATCCAAACAGAAGTAAACCGCAACAGCAACTTTTAAGTGCTAACCTTGTTGGTGTGGGTGTGCCCACAGCTTCTGGTAGCCTTCAAATTCTGAATATTCCCACGTCTGCAGGCATCAGTGGAAATCTACTAATGACCACCAACGGAACTTATGATCCAGCAAATCTTAGTACTTTTAACGCTACCACAGGTACGGGTTTGGCTTACACTGATGCTGATGGCCATTTGGTATAGCTGTAGGAGTACACGGGGTCACCGATGGAAGCTGCGATAGCCTTAATCAATGCCTCTTTGGCTCCCGCTGCTACCATTATCAACTCGAATACTACACGCTACTGAAAAACAAATAATACTCGTACAATTGAGCAGGTCAAAGTGAGCAAATATTTCAGAAAATAGTTTAAATAGCCAAGAGAAAAAGATACTGAGTTTACTTCTAAGGTTAGCTTTAAGATTAAATTAAGATTAGTGGGCATCAATCTTAACGACCTGATGCTGTATGCTGTATAGCAAGTACCAAATTAATTATCATTTTACATTTGCCGGATCTAAAAGTGCAACTCTTCTAGTTTTCTTTTTGACAAAATACTTATTTTTTATTTTTTTTTCTCTAGAGAAAAGGTAGACTACATACATAAAATAAAGGCTGCATTTCTTTATTCATTCTGACGTTTGGAATAAACTTTTTTGTTTACTTATTCTTTAGAACGGTTCTAATGATATGTTAACGTATATTTCAAACGCATTCTGTTTATACTGGCTGTGAAATGGGATTATCTGGAATGTATAAAGAAACGCAGCCAAAGAGTTGAGTCTATATATATATACCAGTGTCGCTAACAGAAATACGGTAAAATTATGCATATGCCATTTTATTATACATATTAATTGAATATTTTCAATGTAATTTATAATATGCTCATAGAAATTCAACAGTGCATAATGCATACAAATTGTATGCACATTTTTCGATTCGGCTCGTTTTTCGCTAGGCCATTTATCGCTTAGCAAGAATTATATTAATTTAAAATTTTCATAGTAATTCATCAGAGCTGCTTAGCTCCAAATAGAGTGATATGAGTGCATCCAAATAAAAACGGAAATATTAGAAGAATTTTCAATTGTACATTAGTTACACGGTGTTACAAAATAAAAAAAATGCGCGAACTTTTTAAGTGACCTAGTACAGGTCGTAGAGCTGGCAGTAATTCACGAAACTATTTTCAAAATTTTTCTAACACCCTTAAATTCTCAACTTATTCTTAAAAAACCATTTTCGCATGACTTGCGACACTAAAAAATTTTCAGTTTGGTTATTTTTTAATAAATTTTAAGTTTTTATATGGCTTAAGAAAGAAGAATATTTGTACTAAATATTCTCTCCGAAGTAATAAATAAAGGATACTATTTTCTTTGGAATTTTGGCAAAAAATGTTTTAGAAGTGGAAAAAATTATAAAAATTGGTGTAAATTTTGAATTTTTCCAAAAATTTTCCAAATATTTACAATTTCATCACAAAACTTATTATTTTAAAGAGCATGAATATTCTTCTTTCCAAGGTCTTCTAAAAACTAAAAATTGGGTAAGAATTAGCCGAGCTGAAAATTTTTTGCACGAGAATTCCTGTAAAAATGCNTTGGTGTAAATTTTGAATTTTTCCAAAAATTTTCCAAATATTTACAATTTTATCACAAAACTTATTATTTTAAAGAGCATGAATATTCTTCTTTCCAAGGTCTTCTAAAAACTAAAAATTGGGTAAGAATTAGCCGAGCTGAAAATTTTTTGCACGAGAATTCCTGTAAAAATGCTTTTTTTTAGAATAAGCCGATAATTTGAGGATGTTAGAAAAATTATAGACACACTTTCTTGAACGACCTGTACTAGGTCACTCAAAAAGTTCATGGTCAATGTAACACTGAGTAATTCAAAACATTGTTTATATATGCGCTTATGAGAAATACATATCGTCGTTTAAAGTACAAAACCGCGTATCGTCATTCTGCAAAACCGCGTAACTGACATTAGCTGCCAAAAATTGGATTTGCTCACACAGGCTTTTGGCCCAATCCTTTTCCATTCGTCCTGAAATATACTAGCCAGAAATGCGATTTCTTTATAAAAACGAGAATAATTTTGAAATATGAATGTTTTTACTCTCTAGAAAATTATTTATGCAACCTCACATACACGGTTTTGCATTATCATGATACGCGATTTTGCATTTTCCTGATACGCGGTTTTGTACTTTAAACGACGAGATATTCTCATGTATGACAATTCTGTTCTTGATTTCTCCGGATTGATTTAGGGGTTTCCTTTATTAACAAAATTTTTTGGTAGATATATATGGGCAAATCTAAAAAACAGGTAACCTTTGTGTTATTTACCCTTTACTTTCATTGTTGTTAACTATATCAAGCTGGTTTCTTTTGGATATAATTCATAGACGTATACTTGAAGCCTCACAAAAACGTTTAATCAATTTGTTGCATAACTTTTGAGCTATAGATCTTTTAATTTAGAAAAATATTAAGAATAAGTGAATTTTTTTAAGTAATTTTTAATAGGTGAAAAATTAATTATGTCATAACTTTTGAAGCACACCATATACTGGTTTGAAATTTTATGTGCAATTAGTACTTATGTATGTGTACACTTCATATGTAGTTGATAACTAAAGTGTGCTTTAAAAAATAACTAAATGGCAAGTAACGAAAAGTGTGTAACTCTACTTTTCACAATTGTTTAAAATTTTCGGTTTATCGCGTATAGTTTTTGAGGCATTTCATTTTAAGTATGCATTGCATTATACAAGAATACGAATTACGAATAATTTGACTCATCTTAACTGAAGGCACATTTGAAAAATACGTCGAAACGATCTAAATTTTTTTGTAACTACTAGTCCTTATAATGTTACGTATACCTATAAAAAACTTCAAAAGAAATTTTCTCTAGAAGTCTGCAAAAACCCTGATTTAATGATGCTTCTTCTTGTAGTCACAATATTTCGTGCGTGGTATCAAATCAACTTTTTTCGGCAAAGGGTCTGATTGTTGCTCTTAGCGTTTTCCTTTCTCGAAATAATGTTGTATTTATTCTGCTCTGCGTCAGGGCTGTCAAGATTTCGTGATCTTTTCTCAACATCTTTACATGCCTATTGCACGCTCTTTGCACTCTGATAACTTTGCCATATGAGAAGGTGACTTTTTTCTGGAAAAGAAAACGCCATTAATTGGAGCCTTCTGAATTCAATGGCGTCCTCAGTTTTGCCCGATCAGCTCCACAATTGTGTGCAAAATTTTAGTAAAATAACTTTGAAACTAAGGGAGTTATTTATAAATAATTAAAATTTATTCAAATTTTCAACTACCGTTATCTCGAAAACCAATCATGTAAAATGAGGTATGCAATTGAATTTAGAACGTCCCAATTAAGTGAGTTCAACTTTCAAAATCTTTGCTCAAAATTTACCACTTGCACAGCGTAATTTGAACTCATCTTATTCTTTTGTTTTCTATTTCAGCACTTGATGAAAATGAATTACACTTATATTTTCCGATTTATTAAGAGACTACGAACATAATCATATATTAAACATAGGTGTGCCCACAAATTAAAAATTTAACTTTTTGTTTTGAAAGTGTACCTGTTTTTGAGATTTGCCCTTATCCTAAAATTAAGCGATTTGTTTCTCCCATCAAGCGTTCTTTTAAACAATGTTCGTGGTATTGCCTGGATGCATTCTATTCTTGTTTTTTAACGAAAATAAATTCAATCGTTAACGCTGAAGCTGTAGCATGCATTTAGGCACTATATGTTAATAGTGAGCTGGCAATGGCATGCAACAACAAATTTTCGTTGATTTATTTTGTTTATATGTTAACGATTGATGATTTATTTGGTTTCAACGTTAATGATTGAGTTTTGTTTCGTTACTTTAGCTCTGAAACGTAACGAAATTATTTTGATAAAATATATTTGCGCATCAACAGAACGAAATCGATTCATATATGTAGTTTGTTGAGCATATTTGATAAGAATAATTTCACTCTCCTTAAAGTTCCAAGAAACAATTGCGCTTGATCCCACTTTATCAAATGCCAACCAAATTCGACATGAATCTTTCAGGATAAGTGTGTTTCACATTCTTTAAATAGATACATATACTTACATATGCATATGTGCATTAGGCAGATCGAAAAATACACAGAAAAATCACCTTTTTACGAATTTGGGGGTGGCACAAAAAATTAGATCGCCATTTTCTACATTGAAATCGATTGCTATTTAATCGCCCATGTATAATGTTGTATTTATTCTGCCTGCGTCAGGGCTGTCAAGATTTCGGATCTTTTGCTCAACATCTTTACATGCCTATTGCACGCTCTTTGCACTCTGATAATTTTGCCATATGAGAAGGTGACTTTTTTCTGGAAAAGAAAACGCCATTAATTGGAGCCTTCTGAATTCAATGGCGTCCTCAGTTTTGCCCGATCAGCTCCACAATTGTGTGCAAAATTTTAGTAAATAACTTTGAAACTAAGGGAGTTATTTATAAATAATTAAAATTTATTCAAATTTTCAACTACCGTTATCTCGAAAACCAATCATGTAAAATGAGGTATGCAATTGAATTTAGAACGTCCCAATTAAGTGACAGTCAACTTTCAAAATCTTTGCTCAAAATTTACGCTGACAGCGTAATGTCAATGAATAGTCATTGACTTTTTTTATTTCCCACCCTGGTGCGAAATAAAGTCAATTGACTTTATTACCTTTTCAAAAAACGAAATAAAGTCAACAAAAATTTGGAAATAAAGTCATTGACGCTATTTCCTCATTCAAATGGAAATAGGTCAACAATGCTTAAAGTATGTCAATTCATAGACAAAAATGTTGTTCTTACAATAAACATTGCCCCGTAAGTGTTGTTTTTTAATAGATGAATAAGGTTATTGCCTAATCCTCAGTGTTGTGATATTAATCCATACACAATCATGAACTACCACCAATTGATTTTATTAAAAAAATTTAAATTACGAATATGTAAAAACAAGATGCGAAAAACTAAACGCCTGCGCACAGCTGGAATACGATAAATATTTGAAGAAAGAGTGTAGAAATGATCCATAACTTGCAAAACATGTTTCGTTTCCACAAAAATAAAGAGAACACTATTAAATTGAAGAAACAGTCCATGTCCAAAAACCCGGAGGAACACTGAAAGAATTCTGTGTTTTAAATTAGCATATTTTGAACGAATTCGGAATGTCTAAGGTGGAAAAGGAACCAACCTTTCTATAAGGAAACAATTATAGAAAAAGAATTTTCTTACACTGTATTCATGTCTCCGCCAGCAATTTCTGACGACATCATTTAAAAGCAGCTAAGGAGAATGACGACACTATTTATTAGATGGCACATTCAACGAGCCAATATGCCAAAATGCGGGTATAAACAATTATTGATTATTTAATATCGGAACCGAGATCATATAAGTTAATTGATTGGTTTTCACACACTTTTGAAACACAAATTATATGTTTTTTTACTGCAGACAAGTTGTTGCCCCAAAACACAGCAGAAATCTTCCAATCAGGGCTGCCAACTATCCTTAGTTATGAGGTGCCATATTGA